GGTCCATTAGTCCTTTGGACTAATCTTTTCCTTGTATCTTTAGTTTTCTTCATCTTCCCTTGCTCCCGAACGGGTGAGATCAATGGAGTATCTTAGATGGCCGCCACTCACAGGCTGTTAAGACCAACGTAGAATGTACAACATTTTCTTCATAAACAATGTTATGCCAATTGAACTAGATGTTCCCCAAGACCGCGGTCCCCACAGACCTCAGCCCAGTAATTAGGTCCCTCAGGGAGTTTGGATTTGTAGAAGAACAGAAATTTATCGTCTCACAGTTCTGGAGGCTAGAATTTCAGGGTGTTGGCCATCCCTTCTGAGGCATCAGAGATGAGAACTGCTGCGTGTCTCTCTCCTACCTTCTAGTGATTGCTGAAATCGTTGGCATTCCTTTGCTGCTTGTAGATGAATCTGCACGTGGCGTCTTCCCTTGTGTGTGATCATGATTTCCTGTCTGTTCTCCCCTCTTATAAGACACCACTCAGAAAGGATTAGGACTAGGGCCCACTCTACTCTGGTATGACCTAACAGATAACATCTTCAAAGAAAGACCTTATTTCCCAAAACAAGGTCACATTCACAGGTACAGGGTTAGGATTTCAACACATTTTTTTAAGGGACACAATTCAGTCCATAAAGGGGCATAAGGAAATTGACACAACAGGGGCTTGAAGAGCTTGTGTGTGCTTCTGCTTGCATTCTGCACTTCTGCCATCACCATGAGCAGGACATGCCCTGCCAGCCTTTAATCCCAGCAGAAGGATGAAGGATATGGAGAGCAGGGCTGACCCACCCAGCCAACAACCAGCCAATTCATGCCAATCCATGTGAGTGAGCAACAGCCAATCAGGATTATTGCCCAGCTGAAACCAGTTTAAAACACCACCTACAGACTGCTGAGCAAATACGTGCGTGCTATTTTAAGCTAATGAGTTTTGGGACTGCTTGTTACTCAGCATTACTACAGCACTAGGTAGCTGATACATCCTTCTAATAAGTATTAATAAGCTCTAATCTATAAAATGCTGTTTTTCATTAGCCTGACCTTCCTTCATATTTTGGAAGCAAGCTACAGAGAATGCAAAATAATATATGCCCTGTTCTTACCAATGCCATATCTAAAATGACTACAACATATGGTGGCAACCAATTCAATTTCTTCAATATTAATGGAGTGTATTTAATGTAGTCCAGGTCCCAGAGGCAGAGGGGCAGAGAGGGAGAAGAAGCCTTAAATCTGACCCTGGAAGAGGTCATATGTTTTAATGGTGGTCTACAGCCTAAAATTGCGAAGAATGGGAATTCCAGAACACTGAATTGTGCTCATGTGGAATCTGTACATAGACTAAGAGGCAGCTATTTGAACAGAACAAGGGGATACGGCATGGTTTAAAATAAAAAAAACATGTATGTCAGGGTTGTATCCTTTCACCATACTTATTCAATCTGTATGCTGGGCAAATAATACAAGAAGCTGGATTACATGAAGAAGAATGTGGCATCAGGATTGGAGGAAGACTCATTAACAAACTTCGATACGCAGATGACACAACCTTGCTTGCTGAAAATGAAGAGGAGTTGAAGCACTTACTGAAGAACATCAAAGACTACAGCCTTCAATATCGATTACACCTCAATATAAAGAAAACGAAAATCCTCACAACTGGACCAATAAGCAACATCATGATAACCGGAGAAAAGATTGAAGTTGTCAAGGATTTCATTTTACTTGGATCCAGAATCAACACCCATGGAAACAGCAGTCAAGAAATCTGCATTGGGCCAACCTGCTGCAAAAGGCCTCTTTAAAGTGTTAAAAAGCAAAGATGTCACCTTGAGGACTAATGTGCACCTGATCCAAGCCATGGTATTTTCAACTACCTCATATGCATGCGAAAGCTGCACAATGAATAAGGAAGACTGAAGAAGAATTGATGTCTTCAAATTATGGCGTTGGCGAATATACCATGGACTGCCAGAAGAATGAACAAATACGTCTTGGAAGAACTGCAGACAGAATGCTCCTTAGAAGCGAGGATGGCAAGACTTCATCTCCCATATTTTGGACATGTTATCATGAGGGACCCGCCCCTGGAGAAGGACATCATGCTTGGTAAAGCAGAGGGTCAGCGAAAAAGAGGATGACTCTAAACGAGATAGATTGACACAGCGGCTGCAAAAGTGGGCTCAAACAGGAATGATAGTGAGGATGGCGCAGGACCAGGCGGTGTTTCATTCTGTTGTTCATAGGGTCATTATGAGTCGAAACTGACTCAATGGCACCTAACATACAAAAACACAGTCCATGCTCCACCATCCAACTGTCAGTATGTCATACTGTGGTGGCTGGCATGTTGCTGTGATGCTGAAAGCTATGCCACCGCTATTTCAAATACAAGCAGGGTCACCCGTGATGTACAGGTTTCAGCAGCACTTCCAGACTAAGACAGACTAGGAAGAAATGCCTGGAGACCTACTTCCAAAAATCAACCAATGAAGACCCTATGGATGACAACAAAACATTGTCCCATATAGTTCTGGAAGACGAGCCCATGAGGTTGGAAGGGACTCAACACACACAATGACCACAAAAAGGGACTCGATCACATCCACGATCGTGAAGATGGTGCAGAACTGGGCAACATTTTGTTCTGTTGTCCATGCGGGGCAACACAGATAAGCAATGACATCTATGCTCCAGGGAAGGAGGGAGGTGTGGTAGGCAGACTCTAGGGTGGCCCCTGTGATTCCTGCCTCCTGGTGGTTATGTCCTTGTGGGATCTCTTTCTCTTAAGCAGGCCCTGTGACTTGCTTCTGACCAATAGAATATGGCAGAAGTGATGAGATGTCACTTCTGTGATTACATTACAGAGTCTTGAAAGGAAACGCTCTCCCTTGCTGGCCTTGAAGAAGCTAGTTGCCATGCTGTGAGCTCTTCTATGGAGAGGGACACATGACCAGGAACTGAGGTGGCCTTTAGACGACAGGTAGCAAGAAACTGAGGCCCTCAGTCCAACAGCCTGCAAGGGATTGAATGCTGTCAACCACATGCACTTGGAAGTGGACCCTCCCCAGTTGCGCCTCGGATGAGACCACAGTACCAGATGACACCTTGATTTCAGTCTTCTGAGTCCTGAAGCAGAGGATCCAGAAACCATGAGATAATAAATAAATGTGTGTTCTTTTAAGTCTCTAAATTTGTACTTAACACAGGAGGCTAGAGGAGGTGAGGGAAAGTTATCAGAAACAAGGAACAAGTGGAGTTTAGGCTCCCCAGATATCAGGAGATGATTGCAGGGAATTGAAAAGCTGTGGTTTTGCAAAGTCATGACCAGTCTTTGGGTTCCTCTGGGCCTTTGCACATGCTCTCCATTCTGCCTGGCATGTTCTTCAGCCCACCATCTATCTTCTATCCACCTTACATGGTTCAGCTTTACTGTCACTTTCTTAGAGACGCCTTCCCCAACCCCATCTCCTCAAGGGTCCCCCATTCTATGCTCTCATAGCACATTGCTCAATTTCTTTCATTTTCCTTAAAAATTATAATTCACTGTAGTCAAGACATTCATTGGCATATTTGTTTGAGTTTCAGCAGAAGGCAGGAGAGCACTGTGATTAATGGCATCAGGTTGAGTTTGCATCCGGGGTCCATCATTTATTAGCTCTGTGACCTTGGCCAAATCATTTCTTCCTCTCTCTGAACCTCAATGCCCTCATCTGTCAATGAGAGATAACCGTGGAACCTATCACAAAGATTTGTGAGGATCCAAGGAGGTTACGCATGCATTTAAAAGAAGCCCGGCTGGTGCAACGGGTAAGCGCTTGGCTGCTAACCGAAAGGTTGGTGGTTTGACCCCACCCAGTGGCTCTGTGGGAGAAAGACCTGGTGATCTGCCCCCATAAAGATTACCGCCTACGAAACCCTATGGGCCAGTTCTACTCTGTCACATGGGGTCGCTATGAGTTGGAATTGACCCAATAACAACATGCATTTGAAGTGCCTCAACCAAAACACCAGACCTGTTGCTGTCGAGTCAATTCAGACACATAGCAACCTTATAAGACAGAGTAGAACTGCCCCATAAGGTTTCCAAGGAGCAGCTGCTGGATTCAAACTTCCAACCTTTTGGTTAGCAGCCGTTGCTCTTAACCACTGCGCCACCAGGGCTCCTTGAAGTGTCTAGCACATGGTAGTTATTAATATCTGTCTCCTTTGCAAGGCGGTAAGCTCTTTAGCAGCAAAAGCTGTATCATTTGGCTCATGACTCTGTTCCCCAGTGCCCAGCACAGGACCCGCCACTCAAATGTATAGGAATGGTGCATGCTCCCACTTTGTTGGATGTCTGAAAATACTGCATGTTGCCACCAGGCCACTGGTGGGCTCTGACCCTTCTCAGCCGCCTTTCCATGGGGCTGTGGTGCAGCCCTTCTTCCATGTGCATTCCGTCCAGAGGAATCATCAGCTTGGATACTTACAAAGGGAACAGTGCTTTCCTGGCAGATGTCGCATGAAGGGTCTCGGTGGGGATGGGGGCAGGCCACTGGCTGCGCCTCCATGTTGCGAGCAAAAGGAAATGAGACTTTCTGTTTCAACATTAGCAAAGTCAGGGCAGACAGACAGGGAGGCACCAGAGAGAGAATAAAGACCAACTCACCCCTGTCTCGTAAATGGGGTTGTCAAACTCGGTTTCGACCGTGATCTGGCTGTAGGGGTGTGAGTACATCAGGGGCAGGCGGAGGTTGGAGTAATAGCGGCATCTGCAGAGATGACAGGAAGAGAGGAGTTACTTCTCCCCAACTGGAAGATACGTTATAATACTGAGCATTGTCGTCTCTGCTAATGACAATGAGGATGTGTGGAACAGCCTCTGGCAGACAAAGATCCGGGTAGGGGAAAAGCTGAAATCATAATTGCTCTCAACTTCTAACCCAGTGATGACTGAAGCCTCAGTACTTCCCCTTACTGAGAGAGGGTGGAGCTTTATTCATTTTCACCTGTGGGGTGATTCAAATCCCTATTTAGTGCAACAACAACAATGAGCATTTATCGAGCACCTACTATATGCCCTGTCACCTCCTCAGGGCAGCCTTCCCTGACTGCCCTATTTAAAGGCAGATCCTCTGTTACTCACCACACCCTATCTCCTTCCTTCACTGTGTTTATCTTAGCGTGTTATAACTTATTTGTGTGCTTTCTCTCTCTTCCACTAGTGTGAGCTCCATGAGGCCAGGAACAATTTACATTAGGCACATGCCTGCCTCAGGGCCTTAGTGTATGCTGTTCTCTCTGCCCACTCCTCTTCTCCCAGATATCTGCATAATTTACTCCTTTATCACTTTTGAGTCCTAGCACAAATGTCATTTCTCAGTGGGGCCTCCTCTGCCTACTCTGTCTAAAATCCACTGCCCCCTTTACCCAGAGCTCTTTGTCTCTCTTACCAGCTTTATTTTTCTCCCTGCATTTATCATTTTCCAACATACTACATATGGGGGAAGTGATGGTTCAATGGTAGAATTCATGCCTTCCATGCAGAAGACCTGGGTTCAATTCCCGGCCAATGCACCTCATGCACAGCCACTACTCATCCGTCAGCAGAGGCCTGCATGTTGCTATGATGCTGATTAGGTTTCAGCAGAGCTTCCAGACTAAGACTAGGAAGAAAGGCCTGGTGATCTGCTTCTGAAAGTCAGCCTATAAAAACTCAGTGGATCGCAATGGTCCAATGGGCAGTATCTCCTTCTATTGTGCATGGAGTCGCCACAAGTCGGGGGCTGACTCACTAGCAGGTAGCAACACCAACAACATACTACCTAATTTCTCTTCTATACTTTGCTTATTGTTTATCCTCCCTTATTAGAACCTGAACCCCATGACAACAAATATTTCCTTCTATTTTGTTTATAGAGATGTCCCCAGAGCCCACCAAAGTGCCTGGTACTTATTGTTGTTGTTAGGTGTTGTCGAGTCACTTCCGACTCATAGCGACCCTCTGTACAACAGAACGAAACACTGCCCAGTCCTGCGCCATCCTCACAACTGTTGTTATGCTTGAGCCCATTGTTGCAGCCACTATGTCAATCCATCTCTTTGAGAGTCTCCCTCTTTTTTGCTGACCCTCCACTTCACCAAGCATGATGTCCTTCTCCAGGGACTTATCCCTCCTGGTAACATGTCCAAAGTATGTGATACGAAACCTCGCTATCCACGCTTCTGAGAAGCATTCTGGTTGTATTTCTTCCAAGACAGATTTGTTCATTCTTTTGGCAGTCCATGGTATTCTTCACCAACACCATAATTCAAAGGTATCAATTCTTCTTCGCTCTTCCTTATTCATTGCCCAGCTTTTGCATGCATGTGAGGCGAATGAAAACACCATGGCTTCGATCAGGCTCACGTTAGTCCTGAAAGTGACATTTTCGCTTTTTAACACTTTAAAGAGGTCTTTTGCAGAAGATTTGCCCTGTGCAATACGTTGTTTGGTTCCTTGATGGCCGCTTCCATGGCCATTGGTTGTGGAGCCAAGTAAAATGAAATCCTTGACAACTTCAATATTTTCTCTGTTTATCATGATGTTGCTTATTGGTCCGGTTTTGAGGATTTTTGTTTTCTTTATGTTGAGGTGTAATCCATACTGAAGGCTGTGGTCTTTGGTCTTCATCAGCAAGCACTTCAAGTCCTCTTCACTTTAAGCAAGCAAGGTTGTGTCATCTGCATAATGCAGGTCGTTAATGAGTCTTCTTCCAAATCTGATGCCCCATTCTTCTTCATGTAGTCCAGCTTCTCGGATTATTTGCTCAGTATACAGATTGAATAACCATGGTGAAGGATACAACCCTCATGCACACCTTTCCTGACTTTAAACCATGCAGTATCCCCTTGCTCTGTTCGAACAACTGCCTCTTGATCTATGTATAGGTTCCTCAGGAGCACAGTTAAGCGTTCTGGAACTCTCATTCTTCACAATGTTATCCATAATTTGTTATGACCTACACAGTCGAATGCTTTTGCATAGTCAATAAAACACAGATAAACATGTTTCTGGTATTCTCTGCTTTCAGCCAGGATCCATCTGACATCAGCAATGATATCCCTGGTTCCACACCCTCTTCTGAATCCTGCTTGAATTTCTGGCAGTTCCCTGTCAACGTACGGCTGCAACCACTTTTCAATGATCTTCAGCAAAATTTTACTTGCGTGCGAATTTAATGATATTGTTCAATAATTTCTGCATTCGGCTGGATCACCTTTCTTTGGAATAGGCATAAATATGGATCTCTTCCAGTCGGTTGGCGAGGTAGCTGTCTTCCAAATTTCTTTGCATGGACAAGTGAGCACTTCCAGCGCTGCACTCGTTTGTTGAAACATCTTAATTGGTATTCCATCAATTCATGAAGCCTTGTTTTTCGCCAATGCCTTCAGTGCAGCTTGGACTTCTTCCTTCAGTATCATTGGTTCTTGAACATATGCTGCCTCCTGAAATGGCTGAACATCGATCAATTCTTTTTGGTACACTGATTCTGTGTATTCCTTTCATCTTCTTTTGATGCTTCCTGCGTCGTACAGTATTTTGCCCGTAGAATCCTTCAAAATTGCAACTTGAGGCTTGAATTTTTTCTTCAGTTCTTTAAGCTTGAGAAATGCTAAGTGTGTTCTTCCCGTTTGGTTTTCTAACTCCAGGTCTGTGCACATGTCATTATAACACTTTACTTTGTCGTCTTGAGCCGCCCTTTGAAATCTTCTGTTCAGCTCTTTTGCTTCATCGTTTCTTTTGGTCGCTTTAGCTACTTGATGTTCAAGAGCAAGTTTCAGAGTCTCTTCTGACATTCATTTTGGATTTTGGTCTTTTCTTTCTTTCCTGTCTTTTTAATGACCTCTTGCTTTTTTCATGTATAATGTCCTTGATGTCATTCCACAGCTCGTCTGGTCATTAGTGTTGAATGTGTCAAATCTATTCTTGAGATAGTCTCTAAATTCAAGTGGGATATACTCAAGGTCATACTTTGGCTCTTGTGGACTTGTTCTAATTTTCTCCAGCTTCAACTTGAACTTGCATATTAGCAATAGATGGTCTGTTCCATAGTCGGCCCTGGCCTTGTTCTGGTACTTCCCTGGCACTTATTAGGTACTCAGTAATTATGAATTTGAACAAATTAGTGAATACCCTAACATAGTTTAATATCTTCTTCATTAAATGCCAGTTCTATGACCCCCAACACCTGGGACAATGCCTGGTACATACTAGATTGTCAATAGGTATTTGTTGAATAAAGGAGTGCATGAGTGAGTGAATGATGGAATGAATGAGTCCATGTGCCTGCCACCTTGTACTGTCTATCTACCCACTAAACCATAAGCTCCTGAGGTCAGGGACATTGTCTGGGTTGCTCGCTGCTGCAAGCTCAGTCCTACACAGGGGCTTGGTAGGCGCCCAATATAAGTGTTTATCCCGTGAGTTGAGTTGAGTCACAGCATCCATACAATCACACTGTTAGGAGGACTTTCTGCCTGTACATTTCCCATTTGGGCCACCTAAGCAGAGGCCTTGGGCCTGGAACATTCTCTAATAAGGAGGCTGGAAATTGGATCTGTCTGTCTTTCCCAGTCTTTTCTCTTGGTCAGAGAAGCCATCCACCTTGTTCTGGGTACATGGTAACCTCCTCTGTCTCTTGCTCATGCACAAGTACCATACGGCACCTGGTCAACCCCCCTTCTATACATCCACAGTGAGGACAGAGCACCGTCTCCCCTTGGACCATGGCACGAGGGGGTTGCATGCGGAACATCTGCCCCACACCAGCTGTAAGAGGAGACTCGCTGGCCATGGGAGACCAGTGCCCACAGTGAAGCTGATCTCACTCTGCTCTTCTCTATGTGAGTAAAGCGTTATCCCATGCACCGTCAGAGCATGTGGTTTGTGTCTTTTGTTGGCGACCTCAAACCTAGGTATGGCACACACTAATGCCACAGTCTCCAAGCTCTGGATGGAGAGACCCTGAGGCTCAGAGAGGTGAACTGCCCAGTCCCCCATTACGCTGACGGCTGAGAGTGTCACAACGCCTCCCCCAGTCCCCGGCGGCCCCTTACCTGGTGATGTAAATGTAGGCTCCTCCCAACAGTAACGAGATGATGAGGACGGGAATGAAGATAGCCAGAGCCATGTTTCCGCCTTCCAGGGATGTCTCAGCTGCCGCTTCTGCTACTAAACACACAAGCTGGTAAGGCCTTTATGTCTCACGTGCTCACCCCACACAGGCACCCACCTTCCCAGTTCTGAACCCACACAAAGGACTGACATCACAGAACCTTAGATGTTGGAGAACCACCTTCACAGAGGCAGGGACTTGAGGAAATGTTGCTCATCAGAGCCTTAGAAACCTTTGCAAGAGAGCCTGACCCATCCTTGGTTGGGGCGGCCGTAGGGGCTATCCAGAATCACACTGTTTTAACCCTGATCATTGTTGTTGCTGTTAGTTGCCGTTCAGTAGATTCTGACTCATCGTGACCCTGTGTGTGCAGAGTAGAACTGCTCCATAGGGTTTTCAAGGCTGTGACCTTCCAGAAGCAGACTGCCAGGCCTGTCTTCTGAGGTACCTCTGGGTGGGTTCGAACTGCTAAACTTTCAGCTAGTAGTTGGATGCTTAACCATTTGAGCCACCCAGGAGCTCCTAACCCTGACTATACCACACCAATTTTTTTTTTTTTTTTGGAATATTGTTGAAATCCGGTTAAAATCAAATTCAAGGGTAGCCTCGGGGAAAATCCCAAATGTGTTAACTGGGAAGGCAGATTCACAGGACCTTCTATGGAGTGGAGAGGATAGTAACAACTGAGACTCAGGAATGGGGGGCAAGTATGGGCAAGTCTCTGGGTGGTGTAAACGGTTAACACTGCTGACTGAAAGGCTGGAGGTTCGAGTCCACCCAGAGGCACCTTGGAAGAAGCCTGGTGATCGAAAAAAACTAGCCATTGACAACTCTGTGGAGAACAGTTCTACTCTGACACACGTGGGGTCACAGTAAGTCGGAATCAACTCAATGGCGATGGATTTTAGGTATGTCTATGAGTTGGATGGTGCTGTGGGCCACGCTGAAAGGAGTCTTAGTGGTGCAGTGGTTAAAGTGCTCGGATGCTAACAGAAAGGTCAGCAGTTCAAACCTACGATACACTCCACGGGAGAAAGATGTGGCAGTCTGCTTCCATAAAGATTACAGCCTTGGAAACCCTATAGGGCAGTTCTACTCTGTCTTATAGGGTTGCTATGAGTCGGAATTGACTTGATGGCAATGGGTTACAGGGTGGTCCATGCTACCAGGTTTCTAAGCAGAGGTTCCCAAACTTGACTGCTCACTTGGGGAGGGGTGGAGCTTCTTGCATGAAGACTGATGGGCTCCTCCCAGGGCTACTCAATCAGAATGGCCAGGAATGGGCTCTGAGCAGCTGGTCAACTCTTATTACTTTACATCCCGATGATGGTCACCCCAACTCTGAAGACCCAGGTTTGATTCTCAGAGGCCAACCCCCCTGCACATTCTCGTATAGCCCTGTCAGTCTCACCTGGAGGCTCCCACTACCTCTCAATGTTTGGGGCAGCAGCAAGGACTACTACAGCTGTTGGGGCGGGGGGTGGGGGACAGTGACATTTTCCAAGCATGGCTTGAAGAAAGACCACGTATCTTTCCTAGAAGCTTGCTTTCCAGGTTTCCTCTGCCATTCTCCATGGCCACGTCTAATAGCTCGGTTGGACACCAGTCTACAGTCCATTAACCTCTACTCTACGGGGCCTGAAAAGTCAGTCCTAACATCCATAATAAATACATTTGAGATGTTCTCATGGTTCATCGGTTGGCAAAAGGCAGAAAAAGGACGGCCTGATTAAAGAGTAACACCTATACGTGCAGAAACTCTATGCATGACACCTCTATTTTCCAAATGGAGTGACTGATACATGCCTCTCCCTCACACTTATATATTTCTTTAATTTTAATTTTTTATTTTTGTTTATTGTTGCAGTTTAAGTGAAAGTTTACGTTTCAAGTTAGTTTCTCATACAAAAACTTATAAATACAGACTTAATGGTCTGACTGAGACTGGAGGAACCCCAGAAAGCTCGGCCCCCGGATTCTCTATCAGCTGAGAACTAAAACAATTTCCAAGGCCAACTCTTCAGACAAAGATTGGACTGGACTGTGGGACATAAAATGATACTCGTGAAGAGTGTGCTTCTTAGCTCAAGTAGATACATGAGACTAAATGGGCAGATTCTGCCTGGAGGTGAGTTGAGAAGGCAGAGAGGGTCAGAAGCTGGTTGAATGGACACGGGAAATCAGGGGTGGAAAGGAGGAGTGTTCTGTCACAGTATAGGGAGAGCAATTAGGGTCACATAACAATGTATGTATAAAGTTTTGTATAAGAGACTAACTTGAAATGTAAACTTACACTTAAATTACAACAATAAACAAAAAATAAATAGAAAAGTAAAAAGAAGTACAATAAAAAAAGACTGATTAAAAAAATAGAAAAAAACCCACAAAACTTTATACATACATTGTTATGTGACCCTAATTGCTCTCCCTGTACTGTGACAGCACACTCCTCCTTTCCACCCCTGATTTCCCGTGTCCATTCAACCAGCTCCTGACCTTCTCTGCCTTCTCATCTCACCTCTGGACAGAAGCTGCCCGTTTAATCTCATGTATCTGCTTGAGCTAAGAAGCACCCTCTTCACAAGTATCATTTTATGTCTCACAGTCCAGTCCAATCTTTGTCTGAAGCGTTGGACTTGGGAATTGTTTTAGTTCTGGGTTGACAGAGAGTCCAGGGGCCATGTTTTCTGGGGTTCCTCCAGTCTCAGTCAGACTATTATGTCTGGTCTTTTTACTAGAATTTGAGTTTTGCATGCAACCTTTCTCCTGCTCCATCAGGGACTCTCTGTTGTCACACTTACATTTGAGCACGGGCTCCACCTGCTAGGACTAAAATGCTGTCTGTTGCAAAGAACAGCAACCAATGAAATGCAATTCACATAGCCCCAGATTCAAGTGAACTATTTACTGTCAGAAATCTAAATATAGGTCCAGAAATAATAATAAAAACTGCGTAATTGGTTGAAAGTTTTTTTTTTTTGAAAGAATGTATATTTTTTTCTGTTACCACAGTTGCGGCAAGTGGTTTTATATCAAATTTAAAGAAACTTGTACAGAATAGGGCCATCGGTGGGTCAGTGGCCGAATTATCACCTTCTGTGCGGGGTGGTACAGTGCTTAAGAGCTGGGCTGTTAACCAGAAAGTCAGCAGTTTGAATCCACCAGGCGCTCCTTGGAAACCCTATGGGGCAGTTCTACTCTGTCCTACAGGGGCACTATGAGTCAGAATCAACTTGACGGCAGTGGGTTTGGTTTTTGTTTTTTTGGTATGCAGGAGAACCAGGTTCGATTCCTGGCCAATTCACTCATGTGCAGCCACCACCCATCTATCAGTGGAGGCTTGTGTGTTGAACTTCCAGATTAAGACAGACTACGAAGAAAGGCCTGGCGATCTACTTCCAAAAGTCTGCCAACGAAAACCCTCTGGATCACACCAGTTTGATCTGAAACTGATCACAGGATAGCGCAGGACCAGGCAGTGTTCTGTTCCGTTGCGCGTGGGAGCCGCCATGAGTCGGGGCTGACTCCATGGCAGCTAACAACAACACAGAATGCAGGAGGTCTTATCCGTGAGAAGGGCTGGAAAAGGAAGGAACCACAAAATGGAAAAAAAGAACAAAAGCAAAATCCTGGATAGCTTTTAAGATCTGTTTCACATTAATAAACTTTACTTGGGAATTCTTAATAAAAGAGAACAGAAAACAAGGAGAGGGGCAGGGACAGGTATGCTGGGGAAGAAGAGACCAAGGGGGAAAGAGAACAGACAGCATCCCCAGTTAAAGGTTTCCATTGAGTCGATTCTGACTCATGGCGACCCCATGTGCTAAAGAGTAGAACTGAGCTCCATAAGGTTTTCAAGGCTGTGACCTTTCAGAAGCGGATCACCAGCCCTTTCTTCAGAGACACTTCTGGGTGGGTTCTAACCTCCAACCTTTGGTTAACAGTTGAGTGCTTAACCGTTTGTGCCACCCAGGGACTCCCTTCTAAAACCAGGAGTGTGCTCAGGATGAAAGGCAAAGCTTCACTAGCTTTATTTTCTCCCAAATAACACCGGGCAAAACTTTTCCAATAGAGTTATGCCTTCTTAAGCGTATAGATTGTCAAACGTTACCTCACCGGCATGGAGAGGACCGAAGTCAAATCCCTTTCAGGCCGTATTTAGGATGCTAAGCTGAAAATCCAATACATGTTTCTTTACAATATCATTTGTTTTGAAATGATCACCAGCCGTGTGAAGGTCTAAGCCACTGGATAAAGATATCCAAAGACCTGCCCTTATTTTTCATTATCAGCTTGATTTATTGGATTGCTTCATTATGGGACTTACCTTCTAAAGCATGTTCGAAGCTGTCTTGATTAACTGCAAGAGAAATCAAGAATCACCGGTCAATGTCAAATGCATTCAAAGCCAAAATGTATGTAAAGCCAAAAAAATTAGTAGCAAAAGCCCATGCTACACTTTTCTGAGGCTATTGGTATGTTTTTACTTAGCTTTTCTACTATAATCAGTGGAAATGCCTGGGCATATTTCCTTCCCAAGTTCCAGGGATTAGATATGCAAACAACAATAACACCTAATCATTACTGAACCATCACCATGTGTCAGATATTCTGCAAGAGCTTCGTATACATTTGCCCATTTAATCCTCACAATTCTGTTAAGCTGATACTACTATTATCCCCATTTTACAAACGAGCAACTAGAGGTTCAGAGAAATAAAGTGACCTGTCTTAGATTACACAGCTTCTAGGTGATGGAGGCAGGACTTAACCTGGGACTGTTTGACTTTCTCTAGCTTCTGCTCTTAACTATTTAGCTATGTTCTTTTTGTCAGGAAGTTGGTGGTTCAGTGGTAGAATTCTTGCCTTCCATGCAGGAGACCCGGGTTCAATTCCTGGCCAATGCACCTCATGCACAGCCACTACTCATCTGTCAGTGGAGGCTTGTCTGTTGCTGTGATGCTGAACAGGTTTCAGCAGAGCTTCCAGACTAGGATGGACTAGGAAGAAAGGCCTGGTGATCTACTTCTGAAAAGGAGCCAGTGAAAATCTTATGGATCACAACGGTCATATCCACAACTGATCATGGGGATGGTGCAGGACTGGGCAGCATTTTGTTCCGTTTTGCACAGGGTCACCAGGAGTCAGGGGCAGACTGACGGCAGCTCTGTCTCTGCAATATCTTTAGCGGATTGCCTGAGATGCATTACACTCTGCTTTAATGCTTATTCAGTAATAGAGCTGTTTTCTTTCCCTTCTACTTTCATGGAGAGGTTTTCTGTGCTGACAGGAGATTTTGTTTTTAATTATATTTCCCTAACGATACCTAGGAGTGGAATTGCGGGCCGAGGAAAGTACTTTTTTTCTTTTTCTTTTTTTTCATTGTACTTCAGTTGAAGGTTTACAGAACAAATAGTTTCTCATTAAACAGTTAGTACACATATTGTTTTATGACAATGGTTAACAACCCCATGACATGTCAACACTGCCCCTTCTCAATCTTGGGTTCCCTATTACCAGCTTTCCTGTCCCCTCCTGCCTTCTAGTCCTTGTCCCTGGACTGCTGTGCCCCATTAGTCTCCTTTTGTTTTATGGGGCTGTCTAATCTTTGGCTGAACAGTGAACCTCAGGAGTGGCTTCATTACTGAGTTAAAAGGGTGTCTGGGGGCCATACTCTCGGGGTGTCTCCAGTCTCTGTCAGGCCAGTAAGTCTGGTCTTTTTTTGTGAGTTAGAATTTTGTTCTACATTTTTCTCCAGTGCTGTCTGGGACCCTCTGTTGTGATCCTGGTTAGAGCAGTGAGTGGTGGTAGCCAGGCGCCATCTAGTTGGACTGGACTCAGTCTGGTGGAGGCCGTGGTAGTTGTGGTCCATTAGTCCTTTGGACTAACCTTTAAGGAAAGTATTTTTTTAAGTCTTAAAGCTGGGATTCATGAATAAGGGGCTTGGTGGGCCACTGAAGTTACATAGAAATGTAAAACTGTAGGCTCCTCCACCCTAGGGGAGAGAATTCAGAGCTTTTTGGTGGATTCTCAAAGAGGTACATAACTCTCCAAAAGGCTAAGTTCGATTGGCCTAAAGCATTGGATATTATGATTAATTATATACCTTAAAGGCCAGGTAAGTGGATCCACATTTAACTTGGTGTGCTGCAACTTAACTTCAATGATGAATATGTCACTGATTCTAAGACACAGTTTTTGCCCTTTTTACCATCTCTGCGATGGGGTGGGGAGTGTCTTACAATCAATGGTGTGTTATATTTTCTGCCACCGGGTGGTGCTCACGAGTCCTGTGCGTGCACAGATACCAGGAGCAGGTGCAACAGCGCTTGCAGAGTGGGTGGGGACTCCTTGGGAGAACACCCCAGGGGCCACGGTGGAGCCCTCTTAACCCTTGGGAATAGTACTGCTTACAGGGTTGTTATTAGCTGCCATTGAGTCGGCCCCTAACTCATGGCAATCCCATGCACAATGGAAGGAAATGCTGCCTGGTCCTGCACCATCTCTGTGATCGGTTACGGATCAGACCACTGTGCTTCATAGGGTTTTTCACTGACTGATTTTTTTCAAAAAGTAGATTGCCAGGCCTTTCTTCCTAGTCCTTCTTAGTCTGGGAGCTCCACTGAAACCTGTTCAGCATCACAGCAACACGCAAGCCTCCACTGACAGATGGGTGGTAACTGTACATGAGATGCATTGGCTGGGAATTGAACCCGGGTGTCCTGCATGGGAAGTAAAAATTGTGCTACTGAACCACTACTCCCTTATAGAAGAGACATAGTAAGTGGGACATGCTTAAGCTGTGTCCTTGAAACAAGAGTTAAAAGCAGGCTGGCTCTCAGCGCGAAGGAGAGGCAAGAGAGGAGCCTAGGGTACAAAGATTAAGGAGACCCTCCATTTGCAGACTGACCCTGCAGGTACACGACTCTGGCTCCTTAAATTTTACGTTCTGGATGCTTCTCTTCCCTCATCCTACTCCCAGCTCTACATAACTGTAAGAGCTCAGCACTCAAGTCTTTCAGGTCTTTTATGGATTCTTTTGGGAAATCCTGCTTCTCCAGTGCCTTTCATGGCACAGGGGCAACAATGATTGGAAAAATAGGACACTGAAGACCGAGTCAAAACATGATTCAAGGTGTCAGATTCCACACGTGGGGAAGTTTAAGGAACACCAGAGCCAATTTCTTTTGCTTATATTTTCATTGCAGTGTTTTCGTAAGAGTGGCATATGATAGACGTCTGTTGGAAAGAGCTTTTACTAAATAAAAACTCTGAGCAATGAGAAAGTATTGTGTCATGATTTAATTGGCTGCATTTTTTTTTCCTTTCTCAACAGTGCATAAAATAATGGTGGCATCTTAGATTTAATGAAACATGGCAGCCTAGGTCTTACGTAAAAGGAGCCCTGGTGGCACAATGCTTAAGCACTCAGCTGCTAACCAAATGGTCCACGATTTGAACCCACGAGCTGCTCTGTGAGAGACAAGACCTGGCAATCTGCTCCCACAAAGATTACAGCCCAGGAAATCCTACAGGGCAGCTCTACTCTGTCTTACAGTGTCGCTGTGAGCTGGAATCAACTCAACGGCACACAGCAACGGCTCTTTGGTGGCACAAAGGTTTGTGCTTGACTGCCAACCCTAAAGGTTGGCAGTTCGAACCCACCCAGCAGCTCTGCGGAAGAAAAGGCTTGGCAATCTGCTTCTGTTAAGATTACAGCCAAGAAAACCCTATGGAGCAGTTCTACTTTGTAACACATGGGGTCGCCATGAGTTGAAATCGACTTGGTGGCAATTAACAACAACAGCTCTTCAGAATGAGTGCAGAATCTCTGCAAGCTAGTCCCGGTATCTCCTGGTCCCTCAGTGCTGGGATTGTGAGTAGGTTTCACTGTGAGAAGGTTTCTTTACCTTTGCAAACAGGCAGGGGTCCGTTCCAGTGGGACGGCTGTCCTAGGATACAGCGGATGGTCACTTCGCCCATGAGCTCGAAGCCTTCGTAACACATGAAGGTCAGGGACTCTCCTGGCAGGTAGAGTCGCTTGTACAGGATTTGGTACCCGTTTTCAGGCAACCCTGGGTTGTCACAAGCCAGAGACTCCTCGGCTGAAATGAAAGCCAAAAGGAGCTTGGATGAGAGGCTGCGAATCTTTGGGGGCTCCTACAAGGTTCCTAGGAGCCCTGGTGGCACAGTGGTTAAAGTGCTCAGCTGCTAACCAAAAGGTCAGCAGTTCGAACCCACCAGGTGCTCTGCGGGAGAAAGATGTGGCAGTCTGCTTCCGTAAAGATTTACAGCCTTGGAAACCCTTTGGGGAAGTTCTACTCTGTCCTATAGGATCACTATGAGTTGGAATCAACTTGATAGCAATGGGTTTGACTTTTACTATCAGGTCCCTGGGTGGCGAAAACCGTTTGTGCTCAGGTAGTAACCAAGAGGTTGGTAGTTCGAACCCATCAAGCGGCACTGTGGAAGAAAGGCCTGTCCATCTGCTTCCGTGGAGCAGTTCTACTCTCTAACACGTGAGGTCGCCATGAGTCGGAATTGACTCAATGGCAACTAACAATAATAACACTCAAAGCCTGGAGAGTCGCTCCGGTGATGCCCCAAGATCTGTGTGGTTTGGCTTTGGCCAGCCTCTCCCGTGTCCTCTCTCTCTATCTCACTTCACAGTGAGCTGTTTCCCATTCCTCAAACTCACCCTAGTCTCTCTCACCTCTGGGCACAGGTTACACATGGGCACGGAAGAATGAACTGGGCTGTGGAATCTAACGTTCTGGGTTAAAGTCTGGGTTTGTTAAGCATTAGCTGTGTGATCTCCAACAAGTGACACAACCTCTCTGAGCCTCAGTTTCCTCATCAGTAAAATGGGGATAATAGTAGTAAATATCTCATAGGGATTTGGAGGATTAAATAAGAAGTGGTTATTGTTAGTGGCTGTCGAGTTGATTCTGACTCATGGTGACCCCATGTGTGCAGAGTAGAACTGCTCCGTAAGGTTTTCGTGGCTCTAATCTTAATGAAAGCAGATTGCCAGGATCTTTCTTCTGCAGTACTGTTGGGTGGGTTAGAACCACCAACCTTTAGGTTGGCAGTAGAATGCAAACTGTTTGTGTCACCTAAGGGCCTATCAAATAAAATGTTGTTGTTGTGTGCCATCAAGTTGTTTCTGACTCATAACGACCCTATATGACAGAGTAGAACTTCCCCACAGGGTTTCCTAGGCTGTAATCTTTATGGGAGCAAATCACCAGGTCTTCTCTCCCACGGAGCCACCAGTGGGTTTGAACCATTGACAATTTGGTTAGCAGCCAAGTGCTTAACCATTACACCACAGGGCTCCTTTTGTTAAATAAGATACCAAACCAAAAAACCCAAACCCATTGCTGTTGAGTCAATCCCAACTCATAGTGACCCTATAGGACAGAGCAGAACTACTGCATAGGGTTTCCAAGGCTGTAAATCTTTACTGAAGCAGACTGCCACATCTTTCTCCTGTGGAGCAGCTCATGGGTTTGAACCACTGACCTTCTGGTTAGCAGCGGAGCGCTTCACCACTGGGCCACCAGGGCTCCTTGTTAAATAAGATAATGGGTGTAAAATGCTTAGCACATGCTTAGCCTATAGCAGGTGCTCAATAAATGATGGTGGTGGTATTAAGTTATGAAGTATTCTTCTAGCTTCTCACCTTATACCTCATTTACCCACCCAGCTATCTTTGATGGAGTGATTGGCTATATAGTGTGAGCTGCCCCAAGGAGTGGTCCACATGGCAAGGAACTGAGGGCGACCTCCAGCCAACAGTTTGCAAAGCACTGAATCCTGCTAACAACAATGTGAGCCTAGAGATGGCTCCTTTCATAGTTGAGTCTTCGGATGAGACCCCAGCCCTAGCTGACACCTTGATTGCAGCCTTATGAAAGATGATGAACCAGAGGACCCAGCTAAGCCACACCCAGAGTTCTGATCCTCGGAATCTGTGAGGTGATAAATGTGTGTTGTTTTAAGCTGCTAGGAGGCAATTTATTATGCAGCAATAGATAACTAACAAAGGGGGCATCTCATTTTACCTGTCAAGTACCCAAGTCTGCCTCCAACAGCATGAATTCCCCTGTCCTTGGAACCCTATAGTGTACTTGTATGTCTGTGTGTCATCTCGTCAAAACCCTTTGTAGTGCAAATGGTTAATGCACTCAGCTGCTAACTGAAAGGTTGGAGGTTTGAGTCCATCCAGAGGTGCCTCTGAAGAAAGCCCTGTGGCACAGTGGTTAAGAGCTACGGCTGCTAACCAAAAGGTCGGCAGTTTGACTCCACCACCTGCTCCTTGGAAACCCTATGGGGCAGTTCTGCTCTGTCCTATAGGGTCGTTACGAGTTGGAATCGACTGGATGGCAATGGGGGTTGGTGGTGCTGGGGGGAGCGGAAGAGGACAGTTATCAGGTAATTACAGCCCAGTATGATGCCCCTGGTGGTGTAAACGGTTAACACCTTCTGCTGCTAAACAAAAAGTTGGAAGTTTGAGTCCACCCAGAGGTGCCTCGGAAGAAAGGCCTGGCGACCTACTCCTGAAAAATCAGCCATTGAAAACCCCATGGAGTGCAGCTCTACTCTGACACACACGGGGTCACCAGGAGTGGGAATTGACTCCATGGTAACTTGTGGTGGTGTGATGACATCTGTGATCAGGGCAGCACAGAGAAAAAACTTCTCCTGAGCCAGTCGGGGGTGGGGAAGGTCAGGGAAACGCTGCCTGGAAATCCAGTGCTTTGCTGGGAGAGAAAGAGGGTTCAGGCCTCGGGGAAATGCTGATTGATTCCTGCTAATGATCTGACTCCTGCTGCTCCTCCCTTCCTCTGGGGTGGGAAGCCTCCTCTCCTCCACACCCCACACCAGTGACCCTTAAGAGAAACCAAGTCCAAGTGTATTACCTGCAGAGCAGCAAAGTGACCAGCAGGTGGCAGCAAAACACTGAAAGATTGCCCCACAACATTTTCCTGGAAATTTCTTTGATAAATTAACAGATTAATCAATACAACAAATATTTATTGAGCACCTACTATGTGCCAGAAACTGTCATAGGCCCTGGGAATACAATGATGAGCAATATAAACATGGTCCCTGCCCTCATTGTAACTTAACAATTCCTTCATGTAGGCCACACATACTTCCTGCATGCCAGCCCTGTGCAGAGCAAGATATGAAGTCAACAAAGGATAAATTCTTAGAATTAGTTGTAACGGAGGATATTAACAGCAAGTCTAGGAAGAGGTGAGGGGGAGGACTCCCCAGCCGTTCTTCCCTGTTATGTGTTAAAAACCCATTGCTGTCAAGTCGATTCTGACTCATGGTGACCTCATGTGTGCAGAGTAGAACTGCTCCACGGGGTTTTCAAGGCTGTGATCTTTCAGTAGCAGTTTGCCAGGCCTTTCTTCAGAGGCACCTCTAGATGGGTTCGAATTACCAACCTTTCAGTCAGTAGTTGCATGCTTAACTCTTTGCCCCACCGAGGGACTCCCCCTATCTATTAGAATCACCCTAATTTCTCCAGTGCCCTGACTCCACCCCTTAGGTATTTTAACTTAAGTAGCCCCCGAGAGTATTCTTTTTAAAGTCCCCCAGGTGAGTTTAAAGTTCAACCAGGACTGAGAACCATTGCTTTGGTGTCTTAGCATGGTTTTGAAATTAATCATTTAATAAATTCATTTAAGAAACATTTGAGCATCTGCTCTGTGCCCGGTGGTTTGTATATATTGTTTCTAACTCTTCTCCAAATCAAGAAAGGCGGTAATAATAATACTAGAAGAACCAACACTCAGAGCGTAAGGAGGCCTAGTAGTGCAATGGTTAAGCACTGGGCTACTAACCCAAAGGTTGTCAGTTTGAACCCGCCCAGCAGCATTGTGGGAGAAAGACCTGATGATCAGCTTCTGTAAAGATTACAGTCTAGGAAACCCCATGGGGCAGTTCTACTCTGTCACACGGGGTTGTTATAAGTTGAAGAAACTTAACAGCACTTAACAATAACACAACAGACCAGCTCGCTATGGTTGAATTATAGAATCTGAGGGGTGACTGGCAAAGAGAGAAAGGATCTAGTCATGTTAAAAAAAAAAAAAAATTGCTGTCAAGTTGATTCTGCATCATGGCAAAACCACGTGTTACAGAATAAAACTGAGCTCCATAGGATTTTCTTGACTGTAATCTTAACCGAAGCAGATTGCTAGGCCTTTCTTCCGAGGTGCCGCTGGGTGCCTGCTACGTAAAAAGGCCGGACCAAGACCCCATCCTTAGCCATCCAATCAGCTGAGACATGGCTGGACAATGACATTCAAACTCTGAGGACAGGGCTTCATATTGAAACCAGATCGCCAAAGGTAGGGTTCCTCAACCTGGACATTGTGAGCTTTTGGGGCCAGATATGTCTTGGTTGTGGGGCTGACCTGGGCATTACTGGATATGCAGCAGCAATCCCCTAGATGGCCACCCCAAGTTGTGACAGCCCAAAATGTCTCCAGACATTGCCAAATGTCCCTGGGAGCAGGGCAAAATTGCTCCTGGTTGAGAAGCACCAGTGAAAGGTTTTAAACAATTCTGCGTGCAATGTGCCTGTCTCTTTCTGTTCTCTCCCAGAATTCAAGTGACTTGGACTGATGGTACTGATGGTCTTATAATCACACATCTACTCTCTTCTAGTTTTTAGTCTTTCCCCTCTGTTTATCTATAGCTCTCTTTATCTACAGGGAAAATGTGCATAATGCTCAAATTCAGGTTCCCTAGTTATTGTTCCCGCCTCTTGTCTGGCAGTTTGTCGTACTGTGGTGGCTTGTATGTTGCTGTAATGCTGGAAACTATGCTACCGATATTTCAAATACCAGCAGGGTCACTCATGGTGGACAGGTTTCAGTAGGTCTTCCAGACTAAGACAGACTCGGAAGAAAGGCCTGGTGATCTATTTCCGAAAATTAGCCAATGAAAACCCTGTGGATCACAACAGAGTACTGTCCGATACAGTGCTGGAAGATGAGCTCCTTAGCTTGGAAGGCTCTCAAAATACACAGTGGCTGCAACAATGGACTCGAGCACACCAACCATCATGAAGATGGTGCAC